GGCGCTCTGCTGCCCTGATACACTGACACGCTGCCTGACTGAGACTCGGCGCTCTGCTGCCCTGATACACTGACACGCTGCCTGACTGAGACGGAGTGCTCATCTCTTCAGTGGTATTTGATCGTAAAATGACCCTAATAATTATTAATCCACCTCCCACCACACACCCCCACCTTTTTTCTCCTCTTCCCAGGACCAGGGTCACAGGACAGTGCGGAGTTGGGTTCTGACAGTCAGTCACAGGAGGTGAGAGTCTGTCCCACTAAGGTCTCAGTGTGCCCTTCACTGTATGAGCTACTCCCTATCGGTTTGTCTCCTACCCTACAAACTGTCCCTTGTACATCATGGGACTTGAACTCTGGTCCTGGAGAGCCTCAGTCCAGTCAGACTTATAGATCACTTATCTCTACACCTCATGGATTAATTAATTATGTAATTGTTCCATTAAGAGAACTCAGGTTCTTAAGTGCTGAGTCTGACACAGGTGGACCTTTATGGTCTCTGAATTCCTTAATCAAATGAAACACCTGCTCACTTCCTCCTCTTTAGGAATTGGTGATCCACTGGTGATCAATAAGACCTGCTGGACTGGGGCTTTCCAGGACCAGGGTTGGAGTCCACTGCTGTAGGTCACGTCCTATGCTTTTCAGACTATCCTGTACCCTTTACCCCAGAGGGCTGTCACATGTCCCCTGTACCCCCCCAGGCTGTCCCCTGTACCCCCCAGGCTGTATATTATAGCCACCACTCTAGCAGACTGTACCCTACACTCTGTATTACTGCAGGCCCACTGTCTGTCTTGTGTGCTTTGGACCTGAATGGCAAGAGCCCATGTCACATATTCTCGAAGGGTTATACCCTGCTCTCCCCTCGCTCTGTAGCCTGTGGCTGTGTCCTGTGCCCTACAGCCCCTGCCCCGGGACACACAGACCATAGTTCACACTGCAGAGGCTACAGCCTGTCCTGTCTCGCTCCCTGCTGGACGTCCCGGTTCCTGAGAGACCCCTGCTCCCTGTGGCTCACAGACAGTGCACCTCTCCTCTCTCTCCAGGTTTCTCCAGCAGGAATCCAGGAACATTTCTCTCCAGACGAGCAACTAGCAGGTATGAGGGTACCTGGGTTAAAGAGGATCTCATTGCACAGCACAGGTTTTAGTGTTGGCATTTACAGAAGTCCGATCCACTCCAGGCTTTAGTGTTGGCATTTACAGAAGTCCGATCCACTCCAGGCTTTAGTGTTGGCATTTACAGAAGCCCGATCCACTCCAGGTTTTAGTGTTGGCATTTACAGAAGTCTGCTGTTAACCACCTATAATTTATAGTCCTGAGTGGGTGATGCATTTTTTCAAATACGTGAATCACATTCAGTCGTTGTGTATCCTGTACAATAAAACATTGCATCTTTCCTGCAGAATAGTTTTCAGTATTCATCTGCTGCACTGACCATTCCTGACTGATCTCCTCAGGGCAGTGGGACCCTGTGTCCTGACTGATCTCCTCGGGGCA